GCTATGTTGAATTGTAAGTGTGAGCCAGTGTTGCATTCATGTGCCTTGGCGCCTCGACCTTTATCAAATCATCCCTAGAGTTATGCACATTGTCCCTGCATGCGTACCAGTGCCATTTTCCGGGAAAGGCCTACTTATCTCGACCAGAAATCTCAGACCGTAACTTTGAAATGAGGGCTCGACGGTTTTCTTGCTCTGCAATGTTGTCTTGGAGGCGATGATCACGACGGCTGAGCAGAACGATTTTTTGTACAATGAATTGATTCTACGGGCGGAAGTGGTGTAGTGGACAAGTGGCGCGCTTACCACGCGAGCGGTCCGGGATCAAATCCTGGGTCGTGAGTCGCCCGGGCCAACCAAGCCTTCCATCCCTCCGGGGTCGGTTAATTGGTACCAGACTTGTCTGGGAGGATAAAAACACTGACTTGTACATCGGCTGGCCCCCGCAAGTCATTGTATAGGCCACATCGCATTCAAACGCCACTACGAATGTACAAATGGAAGTAGAATGCGTGCCGCATCCCAAAAGGGATTGATCAACGGCAAATGCTTTATCCTTTTGCTTTTATTGATTCTACTGTAACAACGTTAGCGGTGAGGCGGGCAGTCTGACATTTACCGACCTGTTTCGATTGACCTTTTGTCGTTTCTTACGTGCGCGCTAGGGCGAGAGCACCAGCATATAGGTGAGCGAGGCGACTCGCAATTAAGTTTAGCGGCCGCAAGCAAGGCATGCGAAACGTGCGTAGCGCCGAATAGCAGTGAGGATCCTGAAGAACTCACCTAGTATAGCCATGGAGTGATGAGATATACACGCAGAATTGCTCTATGCTTAGCCACGTTCAAAGATTTCATAGATAAGATTTCGATTTCGAAAGACAATCGTTCTTGCCGATGGCTTGAAGTTGTTGTGGTTTGAAACCTTATTGCACCTCATTGGTGGGTTAGTCTCCCAGCCCACTGGAAGCGTGGCTGGCCGCTCCACCAATGACATTCAATGAGGTCATCGAAACTGCACAGGGCTACGGCCATCGTCAACTGCCATTGAGGATTTGGTAGCTAATAGTTTTGCAATGCACATGTGCCTTAGAAACCCCATCAACTACGTCCATATGAAAGAATATCTTTACAGCGGATTACTACACAACCACTCTCTGTAAGACAGGACATGCAATTAGTCCGAGAAGTAAATGGATTCTATTCCGTACACCGACTCGTTCCAAGCGCACTGTGCCGGGAATGGTTCACAATGTGGTAAGATATACATGCAATCATAAAACAAAGCATGAAGTACCTTTGAGTAGTTAGCTAGGTAAAATTGTCGCTGCGGTAAGATGCTATACATTTGCTCGGAACCGCGTTGTTGTGCTAGAAATATGATATTACCATTGGATATATCAAAAAATTAAGCCAAAGCTTTATCGCAGTTGGGATACATAATAATTTATTTACCTCAGTCACTGTCAGCGATAGAGTCCAAGCATTATCATCCACTCGTGCGCAGGATCACAAAACATTATGGTAATTCACGGTGTGCACCAGACGTGAATTTTAAAGTAACTTGTGTGTTGCAAAAGTCGAGCTTGCTGCCGAGATCGTTGATAGCAGATTATTTAGCTGGCGTGTCAGCGTTGTCGCCTTCTTCGAAGCCTTGAAGGACAATAGACATTTGTTACGTATCGTAGGCTACTAAGGCGATGTCACAGCGCTATGAAGATCAACCTTCAGCAACATTGATCTCGCTAGTGTACCTGTCACCCAAAGCTGGTGAAATGCAGCATAAATGGAGGGCTTAGGATAGCTTCCTCAAAGCCACGCCAGATAGGTCCCGACAGCCAGTCTCTTTTAGACTGAGAAAGAGGCTCTCTAAGAGCAGGAGGCACGACACTATCGCGAATCAAAAGTGTGGGCAACGGCGCTATGCCTTTTGTGCTGCCGTGCTGCCATACATACGTGGTCGCGTACGACTACCATCTCGCGTTTTGCTCCTCCTCGCAGCGCTGTGTCTCTCCGTTATACCACGGCCGGCCTCATAAGGGAAATTTAGTGTTTTCTATGGTGCTTTTTGCTTTTTCTCCTCACTAATGTTCCTCATTGCACCTTGCCTGACTTTCAAGCGATATCGCATAAACTCAATACCTACTCGTGCCTTTTAAGCAACAGTCCCAGCAGGGTTTTTACCTTCGACACTAATGGTGTGGAACGATGCGCTAGCCCTAGTCAAGAACATAAAAAGTGTGACTGAACAAAAAACTCACCTTGGAAAGCCGCTAGAAAGGGAGCTGAACGGCTTCGAAGTGGGCGTGGTTGGGAGGGGATTGCAGCCGATTCAACCACGCCCACTTCGAAGCTGTTCAGCTCCCTTTCTAGCGGCTTTCCAAGGTGAGTTTTTGTTCAGTCACACTTTTTATGTTCTTGACTAGGGCTAGCGCATCGTTCCACACCATTAGTGTCGAAGGTAAAAACCCTGCTGGGACTGTTGCTTTAAGGACCATCTCGAGATCGATCCTGTAGATCAACTCATTAAAAGGCCAATAGAGGCCGAGCGCGCCGCTGACCATTCGCTAGCCACCTCCTATCAATTAT